GTGTTTATAATAACCGATATGAGGTATGGTTATAGTTTTTTTTACATACTGTGCAATTTTATTCTTTGACTTCATTTTTATTGGATCTGTTTTCCTGGCAGCAAATCTTTCGTTCAGTGTACTTTATGGGGACAGCTGGCTTTGCAGTTTTATGAATATTACAAGACTCATAATGAAGAAGGAAATGTTGTTGTTCTATTGCAGAATGCAAGGATAAAGGGCGCCCAAGGTAGTGTTAATTGGGCTGCATAATATTTATTTACTGATGTATTAAATTGATTACAAATTAAATCATCTCCATTGAAGTAATATGTGGATTGATCACGTGCTTACGATATTGTTTTTTTATATATCAAAGGTGGTTTCCCTTTGAATGTATCCAACGCATGGAATGGCACTAAGTTAACTATCAATGATGTTAGCGTCGTTGAAATTAGTAAGCTGAAAGAAAGGTAGTTAATTTTTTGTTGGTCAAATCCTGTTCCTGTATACAATTTTGATATCCATTATAACCGCTAATAACATTTTCCGTATTGTTTTTTTCACTGTGTTATACATCACAGTCTTCAAAATGATTTGCCAAAGTTATCGCAGTCTACCTTGCAAGTTGAAACCACCCAAAACTCACAGTATACTGAATTTGATAAGTTTATATGGAAGGCAGAAATTCTTAGTCTGGCTGAAATCTCAAGTCTTCAATATGTAAGCTTAAATTAAGTAAATATTTTATTTATCTCATAACTTTGTATATGATATATTTATTTCGCATTCTTTATTCCATAGGAGACAACCTGTGTGACCGTTGCGGCATTGGACAAATTTGAGGCTGGCCAGGTGGGGTGGTATTACGATGGTTGTGGTGTCTGTACTAAAAGTGTGTCTCTGAAGGAAGGAAATTTGAAGTGTTATACGAATCATATAACGACTGAAACCGTACCGAGGTGTGAGTTAAAACATTATGTTATGTACCTATTTGAATAATGTAGTCCATTGTTGTTCACTATGTAATATTGTTTAATTACCTACTTTAATTCTTATAGATACAAGCTTGAGATTATGGGAATTGATGGGAAATTCAAGGCCCGATTCATCTTTTGGGACAGCGACTGTGTGAAATTAATCGGAAAGTCTGCTTTGCAAATTAAGACTGAATTGATAGAGGTATTATTCATTTGAATCATTTCTCCAACCGTGGATTTTAGTTACAATTTGACGTTGCCCATTACATGTTGCACTTTTATTATTTTAGTTATAATTTTATCATTTCTCCAACTGTTAATCAATTTTAGCTATTAATTTTATATTTCCTTTGGATGAATTAATTTAGGAAGGTGAAGACAATCCTTGGGAATTCCCATATGAACTTGATGCTTTATTGAAAAAGGAATTAGCTATTAGAGTTGTTTTTCAGCCAAAGTTTGGAAGACTCTCAGTTATTGGGTTCAAAGACGATGAAGAAACACGTAAGAAAATACGGGACAATTTCAAATCTGAAGAGGTATGTTTTGTTTGAAGACTAAATTAATTATGCCGCTGAAACAACTTTGGTATAATAAATCGTTTTTCTGATTCAATTATGTCTTGACAGGTAGCATCGAAGCTTGGCGTATCGGAGCCTTCCTCGCAAGAGGATTTGAGGAGTTTTTCTGTAAGTATATACTTTTGTCTTTGATTACATTAAGTACAACATTGCTTGCTGCATATTATCATTAATCAATGTTTCTTAAAATATTGCAGGAACCATTGTCCGCATCTGCAGATTATGATCCTTCTGTTGCGAATTCGGGGCTGACACCGTCGAAGAGAAGAATAACCAATGTAGCAGAAGATGTTGAAAGTGTTCAACTTTCCTCAACAAAGATGACAAAACCAATCAAGGAGGAAAATTTGATATAAAGATAGAACACAAACTGCTGTTTATTAAGCTTTAGTTTATCATGGAAACAACTTAATTTTATTATGCTAAGTATTAGTTTTGGTTTATTTTATTTCACGCAGCCGCAACATCAACTGTTTGATTTATGTTCAATGTATTTCAACATCACGACAGCAGTTGCATCATATATATGTAATTATATAGAAAACTAATGAAATTTTTTTAACAGAATTGCAGCTATCGGACAATGAGTTAAAGAATCTCATACTAATTGAGATTGAGAACATGATGCAATCGAATCGAAGAAGTTTGCATGAATTTAAGTGTATGCCGTATCCAGATTCATACATCACAAAACATGTTGGCAATAGGCTTATTTATGACGAACTTAATTACGATGCCGATACCGAGAAATAGAAATTCCATGAACTTTTTCATGCCCTTACAGGTGATTTATTTTCTTTATACTATGAATTACAAAAATGATTTTTATTGTCCTTGCACTTATAATTCTTAGTTTGTATTTTATAGATGAACAACGTTTGATATTTGAGAAAATCATGGATGCTGTTAACAAACAGAGTGGAGGGGTATTTTTCTTGCATGGTTACGGAGGGACTGGTAAAACTTTCATGTGGAGAACACTATCAAGTGCACTTAGTTCTCAAAAAAAAATTGTTCTTACTGTTGCTTCAAGTGGGATAGCTTCGTTATTATTGCCGGGTGGAAGAACAACACACTCAAAGTTCAAAATACCTGTGGCAACGCTTGACAACTCAACTTGCAACATCGACAAAGACACCGAAAATTCTCAATTATTTGAAGCAACGGATGTGATAATATGGGATGAGGCACCTATGTCTCACAAGAACTGCTTCGAAGCATTGGATAAAACCCTTAAAGATGTAATGAGCAAAAAGGGTGTTGAGAATACTATTTTTGGTGGAAAAGTTGTTGTATTTTGAGGAGATTTTAGACAGATTCTTCCTGTTGTTCCAAGAGCTGGGCGTTCTGATATTGTTCATGCATCAATTAGTTCATCTTATGTATGGGATTATTGCCAGGTTTTAACACTATCAAAAAATATGAGACTTCAAGAGGGAAGAGACAACACAAGTTCTAATGAACTAGCAGAATTTTCAAAATGGATTTTAAATGTGGGTGATGGTAAGATTTGTGAACCCAATGATGGTTTGGTTGATATTGAAATTCCTCAAGAGCTATTAATATCAAATTTTGATGATCCTATAAGAGCAATTGTTGAAAACACATATCCCAATTTGTTGGAAAAATATCAAGATGTTGAATTCTTACAAGGAAAGGCTATTCTTGCTTCAACCATTGAAGTTGTGGACAAAATCAATCATTATGTATTAGACTTGATACCAAGTACATGTGTTTTATATTTACTGTATTATTACATTCATAATATATATATATATATATATATATATATATATATATATATATATATATATATATATATATATATATATATATATATATATATATATATATATATATATATATATATATATATATATATATATATAAAAGAACATAGTTTTACTAATTTATTTATGTTTTGCTTTTAAACTTTTTTTTAGGAGAAGAGAAAGAGTATTTGAGTTTTGATTCCATTGATAGAACAGATTCAAGTTATACTAAAGCATATGAAGTTCTAACTCCTGAATTTCTCAGTAAATTAAGAACGTTAGGGCTTCCCAATCATAGGATCAAATTGAAGGTTGGTACACCTATTATGCTAATGAGAAATTTGGACCAAGCCGATGGGTTGTGCAACGGAACAAGATTAATTGTTACAAGATTTGCAAATCATGTCATTGAGGCAAAAATCATGTCTGGAAAGAACATAGGTAACATTTTTTACATTCCACGAATGTCTATGTCACCTTCTGATTCACCTTGGCCATTCAAGTTGATTAGGAGACAATTTCCTATTATTGTCTCCTATGCAATGACAATTAATAAGTCACAAGGTCAATCTCTTGATAGTGTTGGATTGTATTTGTCTACTCCTGTGTTTAGTCATGGTCAATTATATGTTGCAATTTCAAGAGTTAAGAGCAAAAGTGGGCTAAAAATCCTAATTCATGACAAGGAGAATGTACCGTGTTCTACTACTACTAATGTTGTGTACAAGGAAGTCTTTCAAGCACTTTGATAGTTGGTAAACTTTATATCTTATACTTTACGATTCAAATTAAAAATCTATTTTGAATTAAAATATATAGTATGTACATTTTCCATGTATTTCAAGAAGTATAAAATTTTTCCTATTTGTTCATGCAGACGTGATTTGTTGATAGGACCGACACTTACTACAAATATGGAGTTAAATGCCAACATGGTTTACATGAGACATATACTCAACTGAAAACATGGTAACATACTTAATAATTTAATAATCTATAAATGTAATGTGAATCCAGACGAGACTCGTGCGATAGCACGGGTTTGTTACTAGTTTATATTTAAAAATACTAATCATTAATAATTAATTTCCAAAGTAAAAAATGTTAAATTTTAAAAGTTTCACTTTAAATCTATGTACAACTGAGATAAAAGAATTGTAGTAAATTTTACAATCACTTATCTATTTGATCATTCTTATATTTTTGTGTATATTCAAAAACAACTTGATTTGTCTCTTTTAACACTCACATTACCTCAATAGAATTCTCGTTATGATAATTTGTATAAAAAAAATATGAAACTGACTATATAACCTTAATTAAAGAGGTTAATAAAAGTTGTTACAAATAGAAAAATTTACACCCATTGTTTCAACTTTTTTTTAATGATTTCATAAAATAAAACTATAAAGCAATTATATAATGTAAGTCAAAGAAATTAGTGAAACCAATAGAAAGATTTAAAATAGCCTGCTACCCCAGCTCAATGACTTGCGCCATACATTTGCTCCCGTGTTGGAAAAATGAATATTAAATATATAAACAAAAAAACAAAAGTTGAAGACCATAATTTAGCTCAGTCTTTGCTATTACAAACAAAAAAAGCAATAGTTGATTGAAGTGTCGTGTGTATAAATATCAGCCACATCTGGCATTAAAAGGCATGCAATATAATAATAGTTTCCAAAATGGTTGAGAAAATGATGCTTTTAGAAATGGCATGTCTTGTTTTGTGCCTTTGCATGTTTGTAAATGGCACACACCATATTGAAGGCAGTGAGGCAGATGCTCTATTGAAGTGGAAAGCAAGCCTTGACAACCAAAACAAGACTCTGCTCGCTTCGTGGACTGGTAATAACCCATGTCGTTGGGAAGGAATTGAATGTCATCATGACTCTATATCCATCTCTAAGGTAAATCTCACCAATATTGGACTAAAAGGTACGCTTCACACTCTCAATTTCTCATCACTTCAAAAACTCCATACTTTAGTTTTAAAAAACAACTTGTTCTATGGTGTTGTTCCACACCTTATTCGGGTAATGTCCAACCTAGACACTCTTGATTTTTCACAAAACAATTTCCATGGTAGTATTCCCAACACTGTTGGTAATCTCTCCAGACTCTCCTTTCTTGATTTCAGTTCCAATAATCTCACTGACACAATTCCAAGTGAGATAACCCATTTGGTTGGTCTTTATACACTTTCAATGAGTCACAATTCTTTTCTTAGTGGTTATCTTCCTCGAGAAATCGGTAGACTGAGGAATTTGACACTGCTTGATATTTCTTTTTGCAATCTCATAGGGACTATTCCAATCTCGATAGAAAAGATAACCAACATGTCACACCTTGACTTTGCAAAAAACAGCCTTTCTGGAAACATTCCTCATGGGATTTGGAAAATGGACTTAAAGTATTTGTCACTTCAAAATAATAACTTCAATGATTCCATCTCACAAAATATTTTCAAGTCACGGAACCTAGAGTTTCTTCATCTTCAAGAAAGTGGCCTTTACGGTTTCATGCCTAAGGAGTTTGGGATGTTGGGTAACTTAATAGATCTTGATATTAGTCACTGCAATCTCACAGGGTCTATCTCTATTTCTATAGGAAAATTGACCAATATATCAAGTCTCTTGTTAAATAACAACCAACTTTTTGGCCAAATTCCTCGTGAAATTGGAAATTTGGCTAAGCTCAAGAATCTTTTTCTTGAACATAATAGTCTTTCTGGCTCTATTCCTCGTGAAATAGGGTTTCTAAAACAACTTGACCTTCTTGATTTGTCTACGAATGTTCTCTCTGGCACAATCCCTTCATCAATTGGAAACTTGAGCAATTTACAATTTCTGTACCTTTATGCAAACCATATCATTGGAAGCATTCCTAGTGAAATTGGAAACCTCAATTCCCTCACCACAATACAAGTGGCCGGAAACGGTCTTTCTGGACCAATCCCATCTTCCATTGGTAACTTGGTCAATTTGGATACTATTTATCTTTCACAAAATAAACTTTCTGGACCAATTCCTTCCACCATCGGAAATTTAACAAAACTAACTGCAATACTTTTTGACTCAAATGCTCTCACCGGACAAATCCCACATTCAATAGGTAATTTGGTCAACTTAGAAGCTATTTATCTTCCACAAAATAAACTCTCTGGGCCAGTTCCATCTACTATCGGAAATTGTACAAAACTAACTATATTATCTCTTTTCTCAAATGCTCTCACTGGGAATATTCCAACCGAAATGAATAGGGTCACTGATTTAGAAACACTCCAGTTAGCTTACAATAATTTCACAGGTGATTTACCTCACAACATTTGTGTTGGTGGGGAGTTGATTTATTTTAGTATTAATAATAACCAATTTACGGGCCTAATTCCATATAGTTTAAGAAATTGCTTTAGCCTTCAAAGAGTTAGACTTGATCAAAACAGATTAACTGATAATATAACAAATGGGTTTGGTGTGTATCCGAATTTGGTCTACATGGAATTAAGTAATAATAATTTTTATGGACATCTATCATCAAATTGGGGAAAGTGCAAGAATCTCACAAGCCTTAAAATCTCTAATAATAATTTAACAGGAACCATACCACCAGAATTGGGTGATGCAGTTAATTTAGGTGAACTTAACTTGTCTTCAAACCATCTTACTGGAAAAATTCCAAAGGAGCTAGGGAACTTATCTTTTTTGTACAAACTCTCGATAAGTAACAATCATCTTTCGGGAGAAGTTCCTGTACAAATTGCATCATTGCGTGAACTAACTTCCTTGGAGCTTGCAACAAATAATTTAAGTGGCTTCATCCCTGAAAAACTTGGAAGGTTGTCAGCATTATTGCAGTTGAATTTGAGTCACAATAAATTTGAAGGAAACATTCCTGATGATTTTGGCCAATTGAAAGTTATTGAACAACTTGATCTAAGCAAGAATTTTTTAAATGGAACCATACCATCGATGCTGGGACAATTAAATTCTTTAGAAACATTGAATCTCTCACACAATAATCTTTCTGGTACCATTCCCTTGAGCTATGGTGTCATGTTAAGCTTGACAAATGTTGATATATCATACAATCAATTGGAGGGTCCAGTTCCAAACATTCCAGCCTTCCAAAATGCCTCATTTAACCAACTCAGAAATAACAAAGGCTTGTGTGGTAATGTCTCTGGCCTTAAGCCTTGCTCAACATCAGGTGGAAACTATCATAGTCATAAGAATAACAGAGTCTTGGTGCTTGTTTTACCCCTCACTCTAGGCACATTATTGTTAGCATCATTTGTTTTTTGGATCTCATATCATCTATATCAAATGTCAAGAAAAAAAGATTTAAAGGCTCCTGAAGAATCAGACAATGTAAATCTTTTTTCTATATGGAGTTTTGATGGGAAAATGGTGTATGAGAATATTATTGAAGCCACAGAAGAGTTTGACAACAAGCATCTCATTGGAGTTGGAGGGCATGGAAGTGTTTACAGAGCTGAATTGCCCACAGGTCAAGTTGTTGCTGTGAAAAAAATCCATTCATTACAAAATGAAGAAATGTCCAATCCGAAAGCTTTTGAGAGTGAGATTCGTGCTTTGACAGAGATTCGACATCGGAACATTGTGAAGTTATATGGGTTTTGTTCACATTCACTACACTCATTTTTGGTTTATGAATTCTTGGAAAAGGGTAGCATGGACAACATTTTGAAGGAGAATGAAACATCTGGTGAATTTGATTGGAAGAGGAGGGTGAATATCATTAAAGATGTTGCAAATGCTTTATCTTATATGCATCATGATTGCACACCTCCCATTGTTCATCGTGATATATCTAGCAAGAATGTTATTTTGAATTTGGAATATGTCGCTCATGTTTCGGACTTCGGAACATCTAAGTTTCTAAATCCCAATTCATCCAATATGACTTCTTTTGCAGGAACGTTTGGATATGCAGCTCCAGGTCATTTACCTTTCTTTACATTAATCTATTTTAAATCTTTTTTTATAGTTTATCATTTCATGTTTTGTTTTTGTAATCCAAATTTTCACATAATAACTCTTTTTTCAATTCCAACAGAACTAGCATACACAATGGAAGTAAATGAAAAATGTGATGTGTATAGTTTTGGAATATTAACTTTAGAGATACTTTTTGGGAAGCATCCGGGAGATATTGTAACTTGTTTGTGGCAACAATCTTCAGAAAGTGTTATGGACCTCACACTTGATACTTTGCCATGGATGGAGAAGTTGGACCAACGTCTCCCATATCCCAGAAACAATGTTCAAAAGGACGTGAGTTTGATGATAAAGATAGCAATTTCATGTTTAACCGAAAGTCCAAGATCTCGCCCTACCATGGAGCAGGTCTGCAAAAAGCTTGTAATGTAAAAACCATCTTCAAAGGGTTATTTTCATATATACTGTTTGATATATAGCCTAAATATACTTTACAATTGTAAGACTTTTTTTTCTCCTAAATATGGTCGTGTAAAACTACATGGAAAATTCTATACTTAAGTCTTAAAATGTCACATAAGACTGTATCATTTATGCCATTTAATGTGGTAATTTTATAGTTATGAATATTGCAATTAAGTCTCTAACATATTAATATTGTTTTTAAATTTTAATGTTAATAAACAAAATCAATTAAAATAATATTAATTAGAACAACTTTAATTTAATCTTCCTCACTACGTCAACATCATATTCATCTTCACTATCTAACCTGAAATCTTAATTTTGTTTTCGTCCCCCATTTTTGAACAACCTGATATTATTCATCATGTTTGTCCGTCATTCATCTTGTCCGTCCGCCATTCATCGTTTGCCAACACTGCAGACGAACATCAGCATAACATTCATCGTGTTCGTCCCTATTTCTTTGAGGTTGTCCCATTCAATCGCTCACCAAACATAACACGACTAAAAATCTGATTGTGTTCGTATTGAGCACGCGGTTGCTAAGGTAAATTCGAAAATGTTTGTTATATTTGTTTGAAATTAATGATTAAGATTAATTGATTTCAAATAAAGAATAAATGGAAGTGTTAAGTTCGATTTCAAATTGGAAATTAGAGTTTATGCTTGAATTTGTTTTATTTACATGGATTTAATAATTGATGATTTCGAATTTTCAAATTTGGTGGTTACCGTTGAATCAGGTCCCTTGATTTAATTAAGAAATAAGAAATTGAGAATGATGTTGAGTTTTATTGTGTTAAAAATTGTGATAATTCATATTTGGTGTTAAATTTGATTTAAATTTTATGAACTAAGTTCTATGCTTGATTTGAATAGGAAATTAGGTACTGTGATTTATGTTGGGTTTTGGTGTGTTAGCAAATGTGTTAATTCAGGTTTACTATAGAAAACTACGACCATTATGATTCCAACGACGTTCGATGTCGTGATAGTGATACATCTGATGCTAAATCAGACTATGCTCTGGATGACAACAATTCGGTATCTAGTGCGTTCCAAAGTTCAGATGATGGTGATGGCGATGATAATAGTCACAACACAGATTCTATTGAAACAAATGCAGTTGTAGGTGATAGAAAAGTGAATATTAATGTCCTTACTGCTGATGAAATTCGTGCTATGGAATTCAGTACAGTTGATGAAGCTAATGAATTTTATTTTAAGTATGGTAAATGTAAAGGGTTTTCCATTAGGAAAAGTGATGTTAGGACAAAAGGGACTAACAGTGGTAAAATAATAGTAATAAGGCAGTTTGTATGCAATAAACACGGTTTAAGAGAGATGAAACACTTTAGGAGAATTAATAGGAAAAGAGAACACAGACCTACGACCCGTACTAAATGTCCCGCTAGGCTTCGTGTTGTAATACGGTGGCAGAACCGACTGTTAACACTGGTTTGCATTTTGCGTTTTTTGTTCGCAAAATGTCGCGGTAAGCAAGATTCGCCACCGACTTTTATTTTATCAAATCATGGAAAAGGAAAAAGAACAGAAAAAACCTTTTTTCGAGATTTCTTGTGTGTGTGCTTGTTTTGAAAAGTTTTACTTCGTGATAACCCTTGTATCAGTCATCAAGGATGTGACAAAGTCGTTTTGGAAATTGTTTTGAAAAGTGTTTGTGTGAAAAGTTTTGTTGAGCAAGTACTTAAGATTCTACCCACTCGAAAAAAAGATTGTTCATTCTCGTTTCCTTTAGACAGCGCTATCCTACTATTAAGGAGTAGGTAGCCCCGTCGTTGGAGTTTGTAAGGGACGTTCGAAAGGGACAAGTACAATCACCAAAGCAATGGGTAGGAAACTTTAGTAGTAACCCTAGAGTCTTAAGATCTTTCCGAGGCAACATTTATGAGGCAACATTCGAATGGGACATTTGATCTTTTAGACAGGAGGGCAACCACTAAAATCTCCTATGCTTAATGACTGTTTTACCGAAGGCAACCGAAGTGAGGCAAACCCTAGGAGTGAATATGTGTATGTGAATTTTTTCAATTAATTTAGTCTTTGCATATTAGGTGATCTACCGTTTTAATTTTCACACAATCTTTCCATACAATCCTATTAGCCATGCATCTAGACAGTTAAAGATTTGCAGGAATTTAAAGTGCGAGAAAATAAACCTAGCTATTACAAGGCTTCAGGGATATGGATTAATTACATAACCAAAATCAGGGACATAGTGATAAATGAAAACCCTAATTTAACTATTACAAACCATTGGCAGTTACAAAGATATGAAAAGGATTAATTTATCGCGCGACGAATTAAATGCGAGGACGCTTAAAAAATAACCTAAAACCCTAATTGAGAAAAAAAATTGTATGTTTTTTATTTGAGAAAAGAATTTAATTGCGCATTAATTAAACCCTAATTTCTAATTGTTTTTAATTATGAAAAAAAAGTAAATTAAATTAACCTAATTTTCTAATTAAATTAAAGTAAATATTTTATGAAAAAATGATCTTTTTGTGATTTTGTGATTTGTTGATTTTATGATTAATAAAAAAGTAATTAATTTTTGTGGAAAAATAATTAAACAAAATAATTAAATAAAGGAAATAAAAATAAGAAAGAATTGAAAATGGGCCTGTGTTTAGTAGCAAATCTGGGGGGTGCGCTATTGAAATTGTTGGGCCCAAGGTTGTTGGCCCATCCTACCAGCGCCTGATCCAGTGTGATCATCTCTTGAGGGTCCATCATGTTCTTTCCTGGCTGGAACCGTTGAATCTGATGTTATAATGATCCAATGGCTGAATGTTGATGGCACATAATAGACGCTTGAGGGATTGATGCACTAGATCTGTGAATAAAAATTGAGAAAATAATGAAAATTGCTTGGACCTGGGATCGAACCCAGGTCCTTATGTTTCCCACCAACACGCTTCGCCACTAGACCAATCTGCTTTGTTGTGCATAGAATGAAAACAAATATAATATAACAAAATAAATGAGTTAGTGGGAAACGCGCGCGAGATTTCAAATGGTCCACTGATTGGCTGCCACCTATTCTTCTTCTCCAAGGCTCTGTCATCTTAGCTATATACCTTTTACCTACAGTCACATGTTCGTAGCCATATCCCCTGCAAATTTCCAAAATGCACAAGACACATGATAAATTACTTCCAACTACATGGATCAATTCATCTTGATCTCGTGAACATCATGGTGTTCTTCTCTTTGCCCAATTTAACCTGTGTGACAAACTCCTAAAATGCACATGAAAACCCTAATAATGTCAGTTGCATATATAGGTGTCAAAAACTCAACTAAATCATCCAGTCAGGTTGCAAACATGTCAATGATCACAAATATATCACTTAAATATGCTAATGATGCAGGAAATTCAGTAATCGATTTGGAAAAAATAAGCAAACCGTGATAGTTGTAGCTTGGGTTTCTGCACGTGTTATGGCTTACAAACGATTGGGATAGCTTCCTGAGACGTCCAACAATCGATTGACAATGCTAGGATGGCTTGAGATGGACTGTATGACTGAAACCGATTCACACTTTTTGTCAAGATTTTTGAGTTTGTTCTTGCTCATTCACGACTTCCAACCCCTATTTTATGCTTTGTTCTTGTTCATTATATACCCTTGAGTGAATTAGGGTTGCAAAACAGATTGAATCTTGAAGTTTTGAGAAGATTTGATTTGGTTCTTTAGCCATATGCAAACTTTCTAAATTGAGCCAAATTATCCCATTTTTGTACCAATCATGCTTGATTCGATTTGGTCTTGATATCTCAGCATTATTTGATTGAGATCCTGTCTAAAAATCATATCAAAAAATATTTTTGATATTATTTACCAATTATTTGATTTTATTCAATTTTTAATAAATAAGAAATCAAAATAAAATAAATAATGAATCAAATAACATGTGAGTGAACATTTTGGTCGTGGAACATGCTACAAGTGAGGTGCAATCATGAAATGCTAAGCCCATTTGGTAAAAAATGCACTTTTGAGCATATTTGACTTTTGGCAATTTTGCAAAAAAAGTCAACTTTGACAAGGCATATCTCCTCCAATTTTAACCCTAGAGAGGTGTTATTGGACTTTTTAGAAAGATTATGATGTCCCCTAAGCAACCCTTTTGGTATCATTTCAACTGAGTCTTCCATGTTCATGTATGAAGCTTTGATCCAAAAGGTGTTTTTTTTACTTTTCAAAAGGACCTATAATGTAGAAATTCATATCTTTTTATGAGTGCATATTTTGAACTTGTGGGCTGAAGATGAGTTGTAGGGAATATTCAAAATGAGCCTTGGTTGGAAAATTTCTGATAAAGTATGTGGAAGTTATGCTTTGTCAAAGTTTGGTTGACTTTTCTTGAGAAACCCTAATTTAGCAACTTTTGGGTTTTGATGAATTTAGGGAATTCCTTGATGAATCATGATCAACCCTTGATCAAATGATGGATATCACTTAAAAATGTTTATCTTGACCAAAAATCTTGAAGTTTGACTGTATGTGGGCCACAATTGACTTTTGACCTAATACAGTCGATTCTCAAGCATTTGAGCAGTTGACTGAGCAAACTTCTTGTGCAATGCTTGAAATTTGACACGGAGGGTCTTGAGAACATATTAGGACCATGGAGAGCATATGAGTTCTTTGGAGTTCACCTATCTTGATGAAAATGGAAACCCTAATTTGAGACACACTGCCTTAGGAGAGAGTTTGTCTGGTCAACTCTTGGGCAAACTTGAACAAATTAAGGATCTCTAGGAGTATTGAGTAAAATGAGAGGGAAAATTTTGGGGTACAACAACTGCCCCTGTTCAATCTTCTTAAACCTGAGGATGTAGATTGGCTCGTCTGCCTTTCGTGGGTGGAAGATGATTGAACACTAGAGTGCCCAGAAATTTGCACTCGCATGAAGTGATACTTGATTTGTGATATCGAGAATGGGCTTATAGATTACATTTGGAAGTTGCTAGATAATTGTCGGTGATGGGCTTAAATATGCCATCCAAGATGTGACGGAGTACCGTCGGAGATGGGCTTAAAGATGCCATCTAGAGGATGTTGATTTCCTGGGATATTCCTTTGATGAGAGTCCCTGCTCCTGTCGTTGAGGAGGAATCTGCTAAGGAATATTGGTATCTGTCTTGGGAGAAATAGAATTTTAGGAGCTTCAGTTGTCAGTTACTCTACTGGGGAATTAACTCCGGAGGTGAACTGCATATCTGGTCAGTGTATAGGCTGTATTGCGACTTACTGGGGAAAGGTGAAATTGACTGAAACTGGTCAGGTCCAGGTTTTACCGTGTTGTAAACTGTCGTCTGGAGGTAAGAGAGAAGAAACCTAGATGGTAAGGTTATGAGAAGGAACATGGGTCGTAGGGTTACTTCTAAACGAAAGCCTGGATAGTAGGGCTATGAGAAGGAACCTGGATCGTAGGGTTACTTCGATATGAAAGCCTGGATAGTAGGGTTGTGAGAAGGAACCTGGATAGTAGGGTTACTTCGAAATGAAAGCCTGGATAGTAGGGCTGTGAGAAGGAACCTGTATCGTAGGGTTACTTCAAGATGAAATCCTGGATAGTAGGGCTATGAGAAGGAACCTGGATAGTAGGTGTGATACGGTGGGAGAACTGACTTGAGGTTTTGCGTTTGTTTTTGCAAATGTTTCGATTGAGCAATAGTCGCCACCGACTTTTTATTTTATCCTAAGGAAAGATTAAAAAGCACAACAAAAACCTTTGAGATGTTTTATTGGGTTCGGGGAGTAGATTATAGAAAGGGAAGGTATTAGCACCCTTTCTATCCATGGTTATCCATGGGCTCTTAGTTACTTGCTTAGATCAACTTTCCTTTGATTTTCAATTGTTTGAAATGGTGCTTTGTGTGTGGGTTTAAAAATGTTTTTGAAAAGAGGCCAATGTGGTGGCAACCTTTGCAATGATCCATGTTGGGATGTATACAAAGGTGTATGTCTTTTGAAAAGTTTTCAATGTTTTTGAAAGTTGTTTTGAAAGTGTATTGTGGATTGTGGTTTTGAAAAGTAGGCAAGTGTTTTTTGCAAGTTTGATCAAGTAACCAAGAGTTTTGTCTACCCCTAAATTTACTCAAAGGCTTTTCCTATGTTTTTAACCCTTTTAACAATTTTGTTCCACCATTGTATTTGGTGGACAATCTTGTGTTAGGATGTTAACGGGACGGGCGCGGGTCATCGTTTAAACCATGATTGCAATGGTGCCAAGTGTCTTTGGCAACTTTTTCCTTTAAGGGACTTGATCATTTTTAGGCAACTTTCGAAAGCGTCATCGAGGGACTATGATCATTTGATATTGTTTTGTTTTTCCAAGGACACTTAACATGCAACATGGCCCATTATTGAAGGCAACAAGTGGAGTAACCCTAGGGGTGCAAGTGTGATTGGTGTTTGTTCATTTTCATGCTTTGTTATCTTTTGTTAGGTCAAGCTATTTGTTATTTTATTTTTGCATACAAAACCCTAATTCTATCATGGCATATTTAGAAAGCTTTTAAATGCGGAATTTAAAGGTCCTAAATTATTACAACACAAATTATGGGATGGGGGGTACAAATGTTCAAATGGGGGATATTTAGCAAGAAAAATTAAATCTAAACTATTACATCCAAATTGAATTATACAAATTATTTAATATACAATAATTAAATAAAATACAATAAATATGCAAGATGCAAAAAGTGATTTTTATGTGTATGTAAAAGTGTTTTTCATGTGACAAATAAACAAAAATAAAAAGGTTTAATTTTTGGATTTTTTAGGGTTTAGGGCAAAAACCCTAATTTGCTAATAAAATGTATTAATTATTTAATATGTACAATATTTGTTAATTATATACAAAAAATAAATAAAAAGGAGGTATATTGTAAAAAAGTATTTTTGAGGTCAAATATTAATAAAAATAAAAATGTATTATTTTTGTATTTTTATCCTAAATATTATAATAAATATATAAGTATTTATATTATTTACTAAATATATTAAATATGTACAAAAATAGAATATTTATTATTTACAAAAAAAGTATATT